AGGGATGTGACCTGGGTTCGGATGGTGGTACAATCCCACCCTAATCCTCCTTAATGTAAAATTACAATCACAAAATGGAGGACAACCACACAACACTGGGAATCATGGCCTAGCCAAATTGATACACACATTTTTGGGGGGACACAATTCAGTCCATGACAAAACCTATACAGAACTCCACCCAACAACAGCTCAATGTACATTTTTCTCCAGTGCACATAGATCATTCTCCACAATAGACTATATGTTAGGTTACAAAGCAAGTCTCGATAAATTTTAAAAGATCGAGATTGTAAAATAAACCCAGCAGTGTCGTGCTGTACTACCTCCAAACTGAATTTGTGTTCCCTAACACATGGGGTCACCATGAATTGAAATCAACTCAACGGCAGTATTCCGATTCACGGAGACCCTATGTGATGGAGTACAGCTGCCCCATAGAGTTTCCTAGGCTGAAATCTTTGCAAGAGCAGTTCACCAGGTCTTTTCTCCTGTGGAGTGGCTGGTGGGTTTGAACTGCTGACCTTTCTGTTAGCCGCCGAGAGCTTAACCGTTGCACCACCGGGACGCCTTGACTGTAGACTAAAATGGAGTAAATGTACTAATAATAGGTTAAAAAGATACTAAATATTATAAACAGAATAGCATGGGTTCTGTAAGAAATTTTTCTGGCTTCTAGAGTTATCCAAAGACTTACGGTAGACTAAGATGGAACCAGTATTTGGTATCTAAAATTTTGACAAGATTGTTTTTTTTTTTTTAAAAAAAAAAAAGATTACATTGGAAGTTAAAGGAAGTGTGTGAGCTGGTTTAAGGACAGAAAGACAACAAAAACCGTTGCCATCGAGTCGATGCCGGCTCATAGCAACCCTCTAGGACAGAGTAGAACTGCCCCGTAGGGTTTCCAAGGAGCGGCTGGTAGATTCAAACTCCTGACCTTTTGGTTAGCAGCTGTAGCTCTTAACCACTGCACCACCGGGACTCCAAGGGCAAAATAAGAAGGGGGATTAATTGATGGAGAATGGTAAAAGTGGAGATTTCCAGGATTGGTGTTTGAGGCTAATTTGGTTTTTTAAGTTTAGTAAAGAGAATGTGCCCGAAATGTTTTAGTTTGCTAGTAGTAGTAAACTTCTGTACATAATATAAAGCCAGTGGCAGTATATCTTCATATGTTATATGAGAGAGCAAAAAGTAGTAATTTTGTCATGAACAAGTTAAGAAAGTATAAAGAAAAATAACACTGTATTTTTGAACTGATGATCTCTTAAGTTGTCAGTTAAAGAATATAGGAAAGAGATCGAGTGTTGTTGAAGAATTAATACTTATGCCAAAAAGGCTAATGAAAAGTAGCACTGTTATTCTCTACTTATATAAACTTTGATGTTTAAACCTTGAATTCTGCATGTGATTCTTGATGACATACCTTTAAGAAAGATATGAGCATAGGGCAAGATCCCAAGAAAAGCAACTGACATGATCAAGGAGATAGATGATTCAGAAGTTTAAGGTCTTTCCATTTTGAAGGATTAAGAGTCAAAGGAGATATGAGAGAAGTCAGAAAAATGAGAATAGGGTTTTTCCTCAATCTTGTAATCCTAGAGCCAAAAAATGTACTTTGAAACTTCAGAGAAGACATTACAGGCTAAGTAAAAATTGTTGCCTTATCCATTTCACAGAAATGGAAGAAATTTTTATCCCAAATTTATATGTCCTTAAACAGTATCCTAATATTTTTCACATACATCAGCTCTTTGAACCTTGTGTCTTGTTTTGGGTCTTCTAGATATGAATTTAAAGAACACTGAAAAATACCTAGAAAATAGAGTTCAGTATGGACCAGGAGTCCAGTCTAGCCCACTGCCTGTTTTCTGTACAGTCCACAGCTAAGGAGTATTTTTATATTTTTAAATATTTGGGAAAAAACCCCAAAGAATAGGATTCAGTGATAAGTGAAAATTATATGAAGTTCAAATTTCAAAAGGAGATGGAAAAGCACATTGGGTTCAGGTGCTGGATAACCTTGATCCTGACCTTAAGTCAATTAGGGTTCATTTGTTTGGCAAAGGGGAGCCACTGGAGGTTTTTGAATAATGAAGTAAATGATCAGAGTAATAATTTAGGAAAATACATCCACTGATGGCCTACTGTCTACTCAGGAAGTGATGAGGAGCCCACGTAAGGATACTGACCTTAGTATTGGAAAGGAGAAGTCAGATCTATGAGCATATTACCATTCATTCATTCATTTTTAGTCCTTTTGAAATTTGATACATTTTATGAATAAAATTTTATTGTAATATAACCAGGTTCGTTTGTTTATATATTGATTGTGACTGTTTTCAATTACAGCAGCAGAGCGGACTTGGAACAGAGACTGCATGTCCCGCAAAGCCTAAAGTGTTTTATCCTTTGGTTCTTTACAGAAAAAGTTTACCAACCCCTGGGCTAGCCTGCGCAAAATTAGAGTTAGTTCTCCAGGAGAAGAAAAGATTATAGTGACTAGAGTAAGAAATGTGAAGTATATGAAGAGATACTGTATAAGTGATACTAAGCAGCATATGACTGTAACTGTGCTGTACAATACAGTAGCTGTTAGCCTCCTGTCACTATTTAAATTTAATTAAAATTAAATAAGCTTTAAAATTCAGTTGTTCACCCAAACTTAACATTTCATTTAAGGGTTCAGCTACTAGCCACCAAAAGATTGGTGGCTCAGACCCACCCAGAGGTACTTCGGAAGACAGGTCCGGCAATCTGCTTCGGAAATGTCACAGCCTTGAAAACCCTATGGAATAATTCTGCTCTGCACGCATGGAGTCACCATGAGTCAGACTGCTGTAACAAAAATACCACAGTGGATGGCTTTAACAAGCAGAAATTTGTTGTCTCACAGTTTAGCAGGCTAGAAGTCTGAATTTAGGACACCAGCGCAAGGGGAAGGCTTTTTCTCTCTGTCGGCTCTGGGGGAAGATCCTTGTCATCAATCTTCCCCTGGTCTAGGAGCCTCTCAGCGCAGGTACCCCAAGTCCAAAGGATGTGCTCCACTCCTGGCTCTTGTTGCTTGGTGGTAATGAGGTCCCTCTCTTCTCTGCTCACTTTTCTCTTGTATGTCACAAAAGAGATGGACTCAAGACACAACCTAATCCTGTAGATTGTGTCCTACCTCATTAACATAACTGCCTCTAATCCTGCCTCATTAACATCATAGAGGTTAGGATTTACAATATATAGGATAATTACATCAGATCACAAAATGGAGAACAACCACACAATACTGAGAATCATGGCCTGGCCAAGTTGACACACATTTCAGGGGTATACGATTCAGTCTGTAACACAGACTAACAACAACAATAGCCTTGTGCAGCTAGTGCCTACCATATTTGACGGTGCAGTTTGTTTCAAATGTACATTAAACATCTCACTTTCAGGGACGTTGGCAAGTATAGAGGATGCTGCCTATACTAGTTAGATCAAAATTACAAATGCGGCTTTATGTACCTCGTGATCAAAGTCCAGAGCCATAGAGATCTAACTTTATAAAAAAAAGATTCATTCCCAGGTAAACTGCCCTTATTTAACCGTTTTTGGTTAGCATCAAGAGTACTTCAGAGCACAAATTGCTGGACTGAAAAATCGTCATGAATAGTAATGAGCCCCTGCTGAGAGGGTGGTAAATGCTTGGGTGAATGTTATGGGTCCTGTGGAATTCAACTACACTGGGAAAAAGTTTGGGAGCTTCAATAGGAAGGTAGTAGCTTTAAATGTGCCCGTATATACTAGGAAGTTAATACAGTTTTTCTCTCCTCCCATATTGTTGAGCTTCATTTGCTGTTTGTAAACTTCTTCACTGTTATTTCCTTGTAGTTCAGCATTCTCAGTTTGATCAAAGCAATCCTCTAAAGTTAGACCAAGGAGCCCTGGTGGCACAATGGTTAAGCACTTGGCTGCTAACCAAAAGTTTGAATCCACCAACAGCTCTGCCGGAGAAAAGACCTGATTATCTGCTACTGTAAAGATTACAGCCTAGAAAACCCTATGAGAAGTTTGATCTGTCATATAGGGTCACTATGAGTCGGAGTCAACTCAGTGCAACAACAACAAAGTTAGACCATGTTGTCATCGTCTGTCTGCTTAATTAAGAGTGGACATGTGCATGTCATTGTACTTCTACCATAGTTGATCTAGAAATTTCTTACCAACTTGGCATCATTTTTTGGTGGCTGTGAGAATGTTTTAAAAATTGTATAAAAAATATTTTTGTACTTCAGAATGAAATATTAGATTGGGAAACTAGATTTTTTAAGACATATTTATTAATGTGATAAATGCTTTTAGTTAAAATATGTTTAAGTTTTTAGAAATTTTAGAGCTTAAAACATTTAAAAATATTGGAGACATTTGCAATTATTTTGGTATAATTTAAATGCATGTAAATTCACTTAATGAGTGAATTTATAAGAGAGTTGTTTTAATTGGATTGGTGTTATAGATTGAATTGTGTCCCCCAGAAATATGTGTTGTAAATCCTAACTTCTATGCCTGTGGTTATAATCCTATTTGGGAATGGGTTGCCTTTGTTATGTTAATGAGGCAGGATTAGTGTAGGGTGTGTCTTGAGTCAGTCCCTTTTGAGATATAAGAGATTAAGGAAGCAAAAGAAGCAGAGATGAGGAAAGAGAGATGCCAGGCCACATAAAGATCCCCCAGGAGCAGAAGCTTACGGAGACAGGGACCTTCCTCCAGAGCTGACAGAGAAAGCCTTCCCCTGGAGCTGGCACCTTGAATTTGAACTTCTGGCCTCCTAAACTCTGAGAAAGTAAATTTCTGTTTGTTAAAGCTACCCATTTTTATGGTATTTCTGTTATAGCAGCCCTAGGTAACTAAAACAATTAGATACAATAAAATTTCATATGTCAAATTTTTTTCCGTTCTAGAAGCATGACTTAAGTCTTCTACTACAGTTGATTATATTCTCATTATGTGTTTTCTCATTTCAGGCTGAAATAGAACTGTTTGTGAACAGGCTTGACTCAGTGGAATCTGTTCTTCCTTATGAATATACAGCGTAAGTTTTTCAGCTTGGTTTTTATGGAAAATTTTATGTTGACTCATCAGAATTTTGTACATTTAGAGCTTAGTTTTCTCTACTGTTATAGATAAATTTATATTTAAAACTGTAGAGAGCCTAAAAACATTTTTTAAGAAGTGTTCTTTACTTCCAACCAGTAAGACAACTGGTTGCCATCAAGTCAATTCCTTTACTTTGAAAGTAGGGTTAAAATGTGATCTTCGTTATATGTCGCTTTGAGTATACAGAAGTACCAGCTAAAATAGTGAATTTCCTTTTTACCTGACTAGATAATAAGCCATTTTTTTTTTTAATTATTAAAAAACCTGTGTGTTTTTAAACAAAATTTCTATGTTCCACATAATCAATCCCCAGAAATAACTACTTTGATGTCTATTCCTCCACATTTTTTCCTCTGAATAACCTAATATACATACACACGATGCTGTGTTTTTGTTTTAAACCAAAGTAGGCTTGTACTGTTCTATCTGATTTGCACTTTGTTTTTCTCACTGAATTTGTTGTGGACATCTATCTCAATACATATACAGCTTCCTCAGTCTTTTTAGTAGCTGCTTGCTGTTTCATTGTAGAGATTGTATTGATTCCGTTGTATAGATTCCAGGTATGAATTTTTTTCACTCATTCCCTATTTATAAACACTTGATTGTTACCAGTTTTTTATTATTGTAAAAAATGTTACATGAACACCTTCGTACATATAACCACAGGTTACCGTATTCATCTGACCACTGTATACTATATTAGGTTGAAAACATAGTTTCTGACTTTTTCTTGGCTTCTAAATTTCTCTGGCATCTAAAAGTTTTGAAAGAAAATGTACACTTAGTGCAGAGAAAAGCACACACAGAACAGCAAGAATATCCTTTAAGAATCCATATGCCTAAATATGAGAAGAGAGTATCATGTATGGATTGACCATAATTTATTTAACGATTAGAAATGTAAACGCTTTCTCTAGTTTTTGTTTGTTCATTTTGTTAGATAAACGAACATCTTTGTACCTAAATCTTCATGGGTATTCTTAGGCAAAGTCAGTTGATACCTTACATTAAGTAGGTGAAGAGTCTTCATTTGGGGATGCCCCAGCCACAGCTGTTTTGTTTTGTTTTTCCTCAGCCACAGTCTTATTTAATTACTTGAGATTCATCTTTCTGTTAGCATCTCACTAATTTGTTGCCATCACGGTACTGGCCTCAAATGCTCCCCGTATTGTTCCAGGGTGAACACAGAACTGTCCTTTAATCTTCTATAGCCAAGCTGCAATTAAGCTGTAACATTTAAACAAAACTTTATTAAAATCTGGTTGGTATTACATGGAGGCAGCTGGGTCGTGCAGATGGTTAAGCACTCCATTACTAGCCAAAAGGTTGGTGGTTTGAACCCACCCAGAGGCCCGTTAGAAGACAGGCGTGGTGATCGGCTTCCCAAAGGTCACAGCCTTGAAAACCCTATGGAGCAGTTCTACTCTGCATGCGTGGATTCACCATGACTCAGAATTGACTCAACCCCAACTAACAACAGTAATACAAGAGAATTAAAACACAGGGAGAAATTCACACCTGACTGAATATGGCTTCTCTATAGCTCCAGGCTCTCATAGGGTCTGTCTAGCCATGCTTCTCATATTGGGGTGTATTGGTCAGTGTATCAGGATGATGCAGAACCCCAGGTAAACTTGACACATCTTCCTGAACTGTCATTTTTAAGTAAAGATTTGGATTAGAAAGTTTTGACTAAAGGAGATACATTGTGCAAAATTTGCTTGATAAACAAGGATGCATTATCTTATCATTGGAATGAACAAAAATATTATGGGTTAAGAGTATTATAAGGAGCCCTGGTGGTGCAGTGGTTAAGTGCTTGTCTGCAAACGGAAAGGTCAGCAGTTCAAACCCACCAGCCAGTCTGCAGGAGAAAGATATGGCAGTCTCCTTCCATAAAGATTTACAGGCTTGGGGCAGTTTTACTCTGTCTTGTAGGGTCGCTATGAGTCAGAATCAGCTCGACGGCAGGGGGTTTGGTTTTTTAAGAGTCTTTATTCAGAAATCAGAGCATTCTAAGGCATAATTTTCACGGGTTTGTTTTGTTTTGGGTAGATGTGCTACACAAAACTTAGAGTGTGAATATATTTCTTACTCATCTACAAGAGCTACTGGCATGATCAGTACATGATCTGCTCTCAAGATAGACTAGGTGTTTGGTATTTCATTGTTTCCCTTTAGACTTAATTTAAATGCTCTTCCCCCCAGGTTTGATTTTTGCCAAGCATCAGAAGGAAAACGCCCATCTGAAAATCTTGGTCAGGTATTATTTGGGGAAAGAATTGAACCTTCACCATACAAGGTTTGTATTTAGTATTATATAAAAATTAATTAGTTAAAAATTTTTTTTTTTAAGAGAAAAGCTTTAAATAACTTAGCTCTCATAGCTAAGGTAGAATTCATTTTCCTTTTGTATCCAGGAATAACTTCTTAAAATCACAGTTTGTAAAGATGCTTTTCGTTCTCACAATATATCATGGATATGTCTATCTCAACGAACATTCATACAACCAGTGTTGTAACTGATAAAGCAGTGGCATGAAGAAGAGTGCTCAGGCCCCTGCTTCACCTCACAGAGGGACCTGGAACCCAGCTTTCAGTCATGAAGAGTTGTCCAGCTGCTTCTGAATCTCATTCCCCATCTTCGTGAACAGCACCAATAGACTTTTTTGTTTTGGCAAATATAATGTTAGGCCTTGGGCTCTCATGTTTTCAGAAGCTAACCTTTCTATTTTGACCATTGGAAGTATGTTTGGAACATCTTTGAATACATATTTAGGATATCAGTTAAACCAAACAAACTAAGCACAAAATAAAATACTCCCTTCATATATGTACTTCTTCATCACCCAGACTTATTCTACCTTTTAAATCTATTAACCTTTCGCTTTGCACAGTCCACTGTTCACTTTATATCTGTCCTCCTACAGCACAAAGAACAGTTATCTCTCTCTTTTAAAAATATTAGTTGATAAAAATGACATGGCTATATAAAAAATTAAATAGCACAGAAGAAAATAAAATGAAAAGTAACTGTCTTCCTCCCAGTTCCATTTCATAGTTTCTTGTTAATCTTTCTTGAAATTTTTTATGCACTTACAAGCATATACGAATAAAATTACATATATATTTTATATTTTAACGTATTAACCTACACTTTTTTAAA